TAAAATGTCAGTCGAAAGAGACTGTGTGTCATGTACGCTTGCGAAGAGAATCGTTATTATTTGTTTTCTAAACGCATGTCTGGCACGCGACTGTTAAATAATAATTAATTGCGCTATGCGTAATGTCCGATAATATATACATCGCCAGCAGGTTGCGTGTACACGCGTTGCTTTCCTCGATTTTTATACCGAGTGACACTGAATATCCGACCGACTGACATCCTTCGGTTAGCCGTGTACTTTTTACAGTCAATTCACGACGCATTACATTCCAACTCGTTAGTGCTAAATTATGAGAAAATTTCTTTCTGCCGATTGGTATAATTTGGGAAACCGACATGATGCAACGATATTTTTTCGAGTTTTATCGATGACAAAAGCTTTTCTAAAATATGCATAATGACGAGTTTAACAAGTTGCGAAAAATAGCAGACGCAGTGTTTAAACAATTGTATCTTGCATGCCTGACACACGTGTCCGATATTTTGATCGTTATTACACTTGCACGTTTTGAGATGCAAAATATTTACGCATCGCTAACTAAATCGAATTTCGAAAGTTATTTTATTTTATTTTCTCTCAAAACTCGTATAAATGTGAGCTTATTTACAAGATAGTTGCACAGTGACATCTTTCTTATTTACCTAAATTTACTATTAATTTGCGGATTAAGCTAAAAAATAATAATAAGAATTATTCTATCATTAGACACTGCTCAGACGTTATGTAAATCTTGGTGATCACTTTTTGGTTTTAGTAATCACATTTACAAACGTGACGCTGTACGATGTTTAATTGAGTCATCGAAATTCGAGCCTGTAGAGACTCATTATTATTTACAAACTGATCGTAATTGATTGTAAACTGTTTTGAAATGCCGACGGTCTAGTTTAGTGTCCTTGAAAGGAAGTTAAACTTGCAAATTTAAACAACTTTTATCGGCATGTTACTTGTTGATTATTCCACAAAGCGCAAAGTATAACTCGTTGCGTTTACGCGACTTAGTTATCGGTTTATAGAATTAACACTTTCTCGCACAAAAATAGTAACAAAAACGTTATTCGTTAGTACGCAGATTTATAAAATATAAAATAATTTAATTAACATTATATCGAATTAATTTGTTTTTCCAAATCGATAGGAAGGTATTTGAACTTGATGAATAAATTCAACTTCAATTCTAAACGATGCGCTTCGTTCCTTACGTGACGCGTTTGTACATCGTCATAGATTGTTTTGCGCACATGCGAATCATGTATAAACACATGTAAGATATGCGTAATCTATCCAAATAGCGTCATAGATCGTAACGGGGTTTATAGTAATTCACTTTGTCCACGGTAAACATTTTAATCGCTCTTCAATCAGGCATTTAAATTGATAAACACAGTTATTTGTCCATCGTGCGCTTAAATACAGTCGACTCGAATTCGTGTCACGCAAAAACGACGGAACGTTGAAACGACTTCTTATGAATAACGTTACGTAATTCACGAGTTAGCGATTTACAAAAGAGCCTTGCCAATTTTTGATCGCCAGAGTGACGGTTGTACTTAATAAAACGAGCAAGTGATGAACACGATCTCTCGAATGCACAAATGCTCGTAAATTATGAAAAATTGATGTAGAGAAAATTCCTTTATCATATTTGATTCTTCAGATAACTGAGCTCAAGTTTTTAGGAATTTCACAATTTTGGGGCATGCGCGTATACATAATTAAAAAAGTTTCACAAATATTTTTCTAAAACTACACAATTCGTAAAATCACTGATGAATAATGGATGATAATTTTTACAACTACTTCAAATGTGGACGGTTCACTGATACATCTATCCACATCTTTCGAAACCACTCAACTCGCTTGACCGAGCGATCACGTGGTATTGCGTCTAATTGCACTGGAAACACACACGATGTAAGAAAACCGTACTGTGTGTTTTATTAGAACGTAACGGATGCGTCTGAGTCGAGTTTTTGCCGTGTGGCGTGACCTTTATATGTGCGTTCATTTAGCACTGTCGCTGAGAAAAGCCAGAGATACGTGAGTTTGATGAGCACACGGGCTCTAGCAGGATACGCCGCGAGACCACATAAATTTCCTGGCGCTTTTACATCATCTAACTGCGCGGCCTTCGTATTTCAGGAAGAACGATATTGCATTGCCGTTACAAAAGTTCTTTCTATTTCAAAGGTCACATTGACACTCTCACCGCGTAAGATTTTATATTCAGCTTCTATACAATAAAAAATTATGACTAATATTTTGTGCATCAGCGACAACGTGAAGTATGTATCACTTCACGCGAGTGTGCCAACAAAGCGAAAGTACACGCTCTATCGATTGGCGACAGTCCGCTGTTATTCTTCGTAAAAAAATCAATATAACAGCCAATGGACGCACACGCTCTTGTGCGATGGTTGGCGTGCATCTTTCAGAGTAGTTTGGCGGCAATTTTATGCGTGCCCACGTGTGCATTCTCGTCCTGTCAATACACGTCGGAGACGGACAGGACTTGATATTCATTCCTAGCCAATTGCCGTGTCACGTTTATTGACAATGCTATTTCACGCTCGGAAAGTCTCTCTTCTGACATTTTTATTTCCATTTTATCGGATGTCTGCTCACGAATGATGCATCTTCGATCATAAATTAGGAAGGAAACTTTATTGAAGCTAGATTTTTTCACGATGTTGTTAGAAAATAAATATACTGCTTATGATGACGTGTAAAGTACGTAATACCAAAACCGTAATTCTCATTTTATTTATTACATCGTACAATATTTACAAGCAGCGAATATCGCCAATTAGTGTTTATATTCATTTTATATTTCAGTTTTTTTTTTTAATTTATGATCGGAGACGCACTCGTGAAAAAAAACACTTGAAAAAATAGAAACAAAGATGCCGCCAAGAAATTATTTCTGTTCAAAATATATAATTATATTCTATTATCTCGCTTTAGTTCTCTCCTTTGTTATCTTTATTGGTTTTCGATACAGTTCGAATAAACAAATAACACTTGTAATATCTCAATTGTGATCAATTTGCAGAGAAGTTAGTTATGAAAATTAATTTCCGCTTTTATTATAAAATACTTAGATAATTAGTTCCAAGAATCTTCCGATGGCATAGAAGCGTTTGTGGAGATACGAGACAATGAATCGCGTAATTACAAAGTGCACAACAATGAACTATGTGATCACAAAGTACGCAACGGTGAGTCGCGTAATTACGATGTATCGAAATACTGAACATTTTTTTTCGACTTTACCTTAAGATCGAGAGCAACAATTGATTCATTGAAATATCTTATCAAGATTTTTTTATTTAGATTAGGCAGAGTGACACATATCTATTGGAAAATCCATCATTTTTATCGTATTCTGTGTACACACGATTCGATTACCATCGCGAATACTTACTGTGAACTCTTTCATTATCAATTTTCTCGAACAGCCGAAGTGACTAATTATTATTTTTAAACTCTTCAACATTTTAATATCTATCGTCGATAAAGACTTTCAACTTGATAAAGCGAGTCGAATTGAAATATTAAAGCGTAATATTATATTCGACTCTGCTTGGTTGGATCTGTGAAGATTACTGTGGAAAGTCTGGCTTTATTCCTTAAGTTTCGCTGTTAATGCCACTTAACCAGCTAGCCGGAACGGTCCATGATTGTCGCATTCACTCACTCGGTGAGAAAATGCTAATTGCAATTTGCGACGAGAAGTCCTGCGGAAAAGTGGGGCGCCGCTTTAGAAAGTGTGGTAACACTTGAAGCGACTTTTCGCATCTTTTAAGTGCCACTTTTCGTTTATTTGGAGATCCATTGTTGCGAGCGACTCGTGAGCGAGAAAAGACGCGACACAATGACAATTTGTACGCGACAATACGAATGACAATGTGAATTCGATCAGCATACCGGGTCAGTGAGCGCGCACCGAGAGAGAGAGAATTCAGGATCGCGTTCCTTCAAGAAATCCGCTGCTCGGCGTCCAAGATTAATCTCTGCCGGTTTAGTTTTTGTCTAAGGATGGTCTTACGACGCCTCGCTAGAGAGAACGGTGCATATATATAATTATACGAAGCGAGCAGTCAACCCCTAGTTGAAATAATCGCCGGTACTGTTATTGCTAGACTGACGTGGCCGGTCACGAACGCTCGCGGGTTGCTGCGAATCTTTGCTTCACATCAAATCACGTCCAAAATATATTCGTGGAACGTCGATGCGTGCGTGCACACGCAAGACGATTATGTATAATTTATTTCTATTTAACAAGCCGAAGAAATTAAAAATATTCTTAAGAATATATGGAATCTTATAATCTAGAGAGATACACGAAATATACATAATTTCTTTGCATGGAAATAGTGTAAGAAAATAAAAGTGCGCAATATTATTGTAAAGAGCAATATAATTAATTTTATTTATTTTCAGCGAGAATATCAATTCCGTATACTATATATTTTCTCACAGAATCGGTTTCTAAACTCGTTATGATATACGATAATTATATCGGCTTTTAATCAGACGCGTAAAAAAAGGCGCTTTCTCTTTTGATAATTCACTCCTCGTACGATGAACGAAGACGACTCGAGGCGACGACGGACGATCGTCCCCGCTCACCGTTTCGCAGTCGAAAAAGCAGCGAGTGTGACCGGTTACTGTTATTCGAGACTACGTTACATGCGGTTGCTGTTGTTTGTTCTCCCCGTATCTCATTTGTACCGCGCACAACAGCGCTTATTACGCGAAGCGGCTCGCAAAATTTTTCCGTAAATAACTGTTTTCCGCTAAAGGCGCAAAAGCGAATATAAATCGCCGCCGATTCCGTAACACGTGTTTACATATTCGCCGCGATATGTCCGCAGCGGTTCTTCATTCCGCATAAATGAAATTTATCGCGAGCGATTATACTTTCGTGCGAATTATCTTCCACAAGCGATTCGCATAACGGATTGATCGTCTAATTGAGATCTTTGCAATTTCAGCATCGAATACAGTTCGACGATACGGCGACTCGTACTTTCGAATATCCGAGCGAAGCATCGATCCTCGAAGGCGAGACCAGCAGCGTGGATGGCGAAACTTCCAGTTCCGTCGAGCAGCAAACCGCACCGAGCAACAACAAAACCGTCTCCTCGACCACCAGCTCGACGACGAGCATGCCGTCCCTTTTAGGTGAGAGAAACTTTACTATCTCATTCGTCACTTGACAAGACACTTTTGCAATTATTATGACGTAAATAATTAATTTTTAACGATAGAGCAAGTTATAAAATTATATTGTGAACTGTAGAGTCTTGTGTGCGTTGCAAAGTATAACGGAAATGTCGTTTGTTTTTAATCGATGGAATAAAGAAAATTGCAGTAGAAGAGATAGAAACAAAATGATACATTGAGCGTGCTGTTACCTGCCGCGTCTGTTGTCCGCAGGTGGAAGTGGATTAGCCAGTTACACGCCTAGTAAAGTGGATCTGACATCGGAAGGCTTCGAGCTAGGCATCACCCGAGCCGCGCCGATGATGGCTCCTGCTCCGACAACAGCCGGGGAAAATACCGATAACACGAGCGAAGTGGAATACTTGAGACCGGCTCAAGACGCAGGCGCATGGGGTTCAGAGACGACCGGAGATCTTCTCTATTAAATGGATCAAAGCAAGATGTGTAGAGAGAGAGAGAGAGAGAGAGAGAGAGTCAAACGCTTTACCATTACTAGCTCAACTGTCTTTTCGCAGCAATAGAATAAAAATAACGAAAATAAAGCTTAGAGGGCTAACGAAAAAAAAAAAGTATTTTCTTCTAGCAGTGATAAAATCGTGAAAAATTATAAACATGCAAGGATCAATATTGTACCAAAGTTTAGCAACGAGTCTGCGACGAGTGCTCAAATTTACCTCACGTGATTGCGAGCGCTCGTCGTAGATTGTTTATTGAACTTCGGTATCCATTAATTTATGTGATTTTTTTCATTAAATCATGAAAAAGAGATTGAAAGTGCGATCTCCGCTCATGAACGCATCATGTATCGATAGTAAAGTTTATTTAGATCGTTAAGTAAGAACCAACAGTATCATTCCAAGTATATGCATTTACTTTATATCGTTACACTATGTCAAATGAACGGACTTTTCCTATACAATGAATCATCGAAACTGCCAAGATAGAGTAGTGCTGCTTTTTTTTTTATAAGGCACTCGAAAGGAAGAGCCCAGCGACTGATACCTTGTTGTGTATAAGAAGAAAAAAGAGAGATAAAAAGCATATCATCTTTCTGGCATACTTTTACAAGATAGAAGAGAAGTCGATAGAGGAATTGAGAGTTTTGTAACCTTTTTGAGATTACTTTAATCCTAAGCTGTGAACGTTCAAGCTGCCAGTAAAGGCCAGAATTTTAAGCGAGTTTTTGTAGAAAACGACACAAACGATTGAATATCTTAGAGAGATTGGAGAACCAATTAAAAAAAAATTCAAGAAAAACAGTTCGGATTTAGATTTGTAAACGTTTTTGCCAAAGTAGAACGTAAGTCTACTTAGTATATTTAATAATGTATTTGTACAATAAGTGTCTCAATTCGGCAAAACTGTAAGAAGTGTACATTTCACAACATCATCAATTGTACTGAATGCATGGCAAATTATATTCTAAATATGCCTTGCGAATGTGAAGATCAAGCCATTACAGTGTACGCGTCATTCTATATTGAGCTCGCATTTATTTTCCAAGGAATACATAATACATAAAACTATTAGCTTTCCAACGTAGAAGGCATAGAAGAAAACGACGGTTTAATGTTAGTTATTAATTTTAAGCAAATTAAATTTTGTATATACTAAATTATTAATTGGGTCTTAACGAGCCATCCAAAATAAGTTAATCGAATCACGAAAATTTGAAAAATGAAAAATTACATTGCTTTGAGCATGTTTTTTGTTTGTATTACTTTTGTTCCCTTTGTTTTGTGTTAATTTCTTCCGTTGTCTATGTAGCATTTCAAATTATCGCAGATATTCAAAAATATTGTTTTTGAATCACATAGGTGTAGGTATTTAATAATGTACGATTGTAGCAATATGTAGTTAATACGATTACAATTTTATAACTTGAACAGTGAACTGATTCAAGCGGAAAAGTGCGATAAAAGTATAATTTATTACAAAGGTGCGTTAAAAATAAACTGCTGCTACGTTTCTGTTAACATGTCAAATATATTTACTTTATTAGATGCTGCACCAGTTCACCGAATATTTTGTGATGTACCGCATTATTTAAAAGACTTGTTCTTGTGTCACAGCGTTGTGTCTTACACTGTGATATTTTTGTTAACTTCTTTTTAGTATACAATTCTCAGCTTTTTTCAGACGCAGCGGTATGCGAATCGTCGGTACTGTTTGTTTGTTTCCCGTTGCTACAATACATGACCATTGCAGGAAGCAAAAGAAATGATATTTGTGCAAGATTCCAAATTGAAAACATGTGTACAAGGGAAGATGAAAAAGTGAAGGGATATTTTTCAATTGACTTGAAAATCAAAAAAATTCCTTTACTTTTTATTTTTCCTAATAAATATCTTTTGTTTAATTCGTCAGTTATTCGCGTAATTGTTAATCGTAATCTCCTTTGCTCCGATATAAAAGAGCTACATAATACGGTTTTGTAAATTATCATTGTACAGTATCATGAAACACCATACTTCAAGTAAATATTAATAAGTGGAGACAAGTGTGAGGTGATAATTGATAATTGAAGCTTGGATCTATATTATTACTTTCTTGAATATACCTACCATGTAAAAGTAATCGTGTGATGTACTGTCTGTGTGTTACAAAATATCGAGATAATAAAAGAGACAATTACTCCTTACTTTTTATCCGAGGCTCTTGTCTACAATTCCTCAAAAGATCAACAGAACACAGGAACATGTTATAAAAAATTAATCTTATTTATTTAAATACGTGTATAATGTACAGATTGATGAGTGAATGAATTGCATTTTGACAAATTATGGTTTAAGTCGTAACACAGTCTCATATGTATCGTCGGACTATAAACTAGTGTTATTTGTATATCGAAGTATAATATTCCTCTTCCAAATCATATAAATCTGCAGCCATGTCATCCCTCAAGGAAGCTAATTTTTGATCACATTCCGCTTGTTTAGTCCTAAATAATTTGCTGTTTTGTATTATGGCGTCATTAACGGAGGGGAAGTCATTTAGGATTAAATATTGCTTGATATCGGAGACTAATTTCATTAATGACTCGCCAGCACGTACAATGTTGGCTGCTCTGACATGCATCTCATATGTGTCTTGCTCACATTGTGTCATTCGAGATAATTGAGAATCATTTTCCCCTTTTGCAAGTTTAACTATTTCTGAAAATAGCAGAAATAAATTAAGAGATTATGGAGACTATTACAAATATTAAAAACTATAGAGGTAAAAATATCTGTATGTATGCATCTTTTTTGTTATTTCGACATGATAAAATTTATCTAAAGTTTTATGCTTATATTGGAAGACACATTATATATTAAATTGATGGAATAAATTGGAATATAATCAAAGTAAAATTCGAATCAGACTCAAACACGAGAAATAGGTTAGAATACCTCTTAGATATAGGTTAGACTACCTTCAAAATTTTCCAGCATCGATTTCACGTCATCCTTTAACCTCGTCGTGTATGATTTCAATAAAGCTTCTTTACTTTGTGGAAGCGCACGTTGTGTAGCCATTTCGTCACGATAAAACGGAATATATTCAACATATATAATATTATTTATACTAATGTTTTATGACACTTATGTTACAGACATGTGTCAGCCATCTTGAAAAGATCAGCTGATACATTTTTACCGATTGCGCAAATCCGATGGACACATCACCTCCGAAGCTCATTTCGACTGCATCTTATTAGAAATATTCCAGTCATATCCAAAGGTACTTTTTAGTGGAATCTTAATCATTAAAACATCAAGTCGAAGACTTTAGAAGAAGATTGAAGAAAAAAGAATCCTGCTCGCAATTTTCCGTCAAATCGCCCGCGTATATCGATTTTCGTGCGAAGGTGAGCCCTGTTTTCACGGAGCCATCCTATTTTACCCCTTTCCCTTCTGCAATTCCTCCCCTCTCTTTCTCTCACTTTGTCCCACTCCACTCGTTCTCCGAGGCCTTCCGGGGTTGGGAATCAATATGAATACGCCCGCGAAGCGCGCTCACAGCTGAATCTTCACTTCCACGAAAAGTTCTCGGCCGCGTGAAACCGCGAGAAGGCAGAGCGTGCCAGTTGCGCAAAGCCGCGGACATCTCTTCCGTTTTCCAATCACTGTCTGATTCCGAGTAGTCTCGCGCACACGGATGATATCGAATGATATAGTCGGCTCCGATATATCTCAATCAAAGGGTGACCACCTTACTTGGTCTGTGCGTGTGAAACTCGCGCGACGTCACGGACGACGGCCGAGGGAATTGTCAAAGTGATCGTCTCCCGTTCGACGACTACGTTGACACTTGCGGTTCCAAGAATACGAGGATTGCGAAGAATCGCGAACGTCGCGGAGGAAGCGTTGCGGTAGGATCGTCAACGGGACAACGTGGATTCGCGAGCGATCCAAATTGGTTGAAGAAACGGGGGAAACTCTCGCGGCAAGGGAGAAACTAGAAGAATTGATTTCAATCGATCGAGGCAAGGGCGCCGAGGTGGAATAAAAAGCGCGATCGAACACGCACGCAGCAGCGAAACCAAGAAAAAGAGTGAGAGAAAAGAAGAGAGAGGGTGTTTGATTAACTCGAGCGCCGAGGTCGATTGGACGAGGACGATGGCAGTGAGCACTTTCTCGACGGCATTGCCCACCACCGATTTTGCCACTACGTGTCCCACTGCACCCGGTATGTCGTAGGAAAGAAAGGGGGAGGAGAGAGAGAGAGAGGAACGTACGGTTTTTAGCGAGCGTGTGCGAGAGAGCAATACATTGCTGGCGGAATGGCGAGCGGCTTACTTCGGCAATGCACGATGTTGGGCTTAATTGTGATTTTAATGGCAGCGCCCTGGACCGAGGCGTCTCTACCACCTGAAGACGAGGAGGAGAACGTTCTGCACATCGGCGGGATCTTTCCCATCGCCGGCGAGGGTGGCTGGCAAGGTGGCCAGGTAAGAACGATAATCTCTTTTTATTTTCAAACTGTACTTGCCACTCGTGAATATTTAATACGCGTTTGAACGTTGAGAACGTTTGAACGTTGAGAAAGAGCGATCTAATGTTAATCGAATTCAATTGCAATGTAAGTATCTAGTAACATCTTTTATCCTCTTCCTTGCGTATTTTGTTCCTTCTTACGTAATAAAATGTGAGATACATAACGGTAATAATGTTAAGATAAGAACAAAGTACTTAACTGTTTTTTTTTGCAAAATTTATTTGAATCATTAACTACTGTATATAATATCAGTAAGACTTGGCGTGGAAATCAGGGAAATAGCTCTATTGTCTCAAAATATATTCATAGAAGCTTTAAAAAGTACTTATTTTGTATTAGCTCATTATCTGTTATTTGACTTTTTATGAAAATTATTAATGTATTTTACAATAATACTATAAAATAAAAGCTATTACGAGCCGAGCTGGATAGTAAATACTTCTTTTTCATTTATTAATAATATTGTATCTACATACGTTTCGACCATTCGGGATGTGTCATACAAATTGAATTAAAATTAAAGATCAAAAGCACACAATAGAATTCAATAGCAAGACTAGAAAATCATAATCTTTAATTTTAATTCAATCTATAAAATACTGCGACTAACTTGTACGAACAAATAGTATGTAATTTAATGTAATTTAACACACTGAAGATGACCACATCCCGAATGGTCGAAACGTATGTGTAGATACAATATTATTAATAAATGAAAAAGGAGCAATTGCTACCCAGCTCGGCTCGTAATAGCTTTTATTTTATAGTATTATTGAATAATAATTAGAGCCAGAATTATAATTTAACCTTTTACTTATAATGTATTTTAATTGTATCCTGTTTTTAATTGTAGTAATACATATGATATATGTATCACACACATAATTAGTTTTTATTATGCAGTACAAGTTAAAAGTTCTATTTTTAACTTTAATCATCTCAGTTTTAAAACGGTAAATATTTCTAAAATTGTGCAGATATTTAGATAATGTTTTTGTAAAATTAAATATTAATTAGTTTTTATGTTTTACAATTTTAAAGAGAGGCTATTAAAAAAATCAGCGTTTCTACTTGTCTGAAACAAAAAAATAAACAAGATTCTTAATTATTATGAATGTGGCTATACGAACCAGAATAAAAAAAAATATTGCAAATTGTTAAATTGTTATTATATTTGACAATATTTGACAGATAAAAAACAGATATCAATTTTTCACTAAAAATTTGAACTTTGACAGCTATAAAAAAAAAGTTAATTTGAAGATATCTTAATAATTCTAGTTCCGATCGTAAACAAACATGTATTTTATATATACAAAAAAGTTGAAGCCGATCGGTTCAGTACTTTTTGAGAAATCGTGTCAACCGAATCCAAAAACATAGTTTCGAGAAAAAAACGCAATTAAAGTTTGAAGTACTTCAGTATAGATATAATATAAAAAATGAAAGTTTTAATTAGCGATACCACACAGCAAACCCCCTCTATCTCAAAATGTTCATTTCGTTCCGATAATTGCAATCTACGAGCACTACGAGCGTCCTTTGACGCTTTAGATGCTCAGATCCGTATTCCTCGTCCTTTACATCAGCAAACATTCTCGGGTCCAATTTTCACTTCCATCAATATTAACATCTCCAAAAGTGGGTGGAAGTTTTCGTTGAAAATATAAGTTGCTAAATATGTTGCAATTTCGATGGTCTTAAACGCTTCTAGAGGTTGTCCTTTCAAAACAGATATTTCCAACAATCGTTTTAAACCAACACACACGCAATACACACTAAAGAACGCTATACAAAGAAACCTATACTAGAAAATTATTCTGAGGAAGGGTGTCTGTCTATTCGATGCAGCTTGTATCTAAGCGCGTCGATTTTTCACCTGAACGGCGCAACCTACAAGGCCTGTATCTCCGCTATCTTTACGTATTTCGACAAAACCTCATAGGAACTCATCTGAGACCCCAAACATTAAAAAAATGAAAAAAATCGATTTTTTTACAGTCGCACAGTAGAATATTTTCTTAACACATAGCTACAATTTTAAATCATTCTTAAGAAATTTTTTTACACAACTACCTTACATTCGGTAAGAATTACATTGTATTTTCTTATTGTTTTGACTCCCATTTTTGTATATGTATTTTTACAAAAGAAGAAAGAATGTTACACGACATCCTGTCATCGTAACTTGATTTTTGTCTGTTCCCTGCTTTCGATTCTTCTGTCGAATGTCAAATTGTTCAATGAACGACCTTACGATTGAGTAAAATTTCCGGCGAACTTTACAAGCAGTTTTGAAACTTTGGAGATCAAAATCCAAAAGTTCTCGTAACGGCGAAGTAAGTTTATCGGTTGAAGAATTTTTCTTTACCTTGCGCGTTTGAAGTTAACATGCACTGAAGTATTTTTAAAATCAGAAAATTTTGCACGATAAAATGAAACTTTCAGTGCTCCAGATACGTATAATAAATATATTTGAAAATTCGCTAATATTCACTTTATGCGGCATGTTATTCTTTGTGTATTTTCATTTTATCTAAATATTAAAATGTAACACTATAATTTTATAATAATAGCCAATTTTTTTATATGTTTATATGGCGTAAATTGTGATAAATATAGAATGAAATTAAATCTCAGTTATCCCGACGAACCATCTCGGCTCTTAAAAGTTTATTAAAAGATTATCGACTTTTGATGACATTTCATTACGAATAATTTTGACATCTTCCTGCAAGCATGAAGAAACTTAATAAACCACAATGTCTTTATTTATTCGGATTAAACGACACGTCTAAAAAATTGTATATATTTTCAACTTTTCAGATATCTTTTAATATTTTTTTTTAATTTTCGTGTTATTTGAATTCATACAAATTAAAGACTTTTTTGCACAACTGTCATGAAATTGCATAATTGTTTACTTTCTAATTGCGTCTACCAAATTAAAAAATAGCACCTTGGCACTTTGAAACGATTCGCAGATAACGAACCTATCGAACGGCACTGCTCGCGCATGCAAACTCGTTCATTAAATTAGGAGATTAATCAGACTGAATTGCATTATCATTTATTCAACAGGCTTGCATGCCAGCCGCGCACCTGGCCTTAGAGGACGTTAATCGCGAAAAGAACTTGTTACGCGGATATAGACTGCATCTTCATTCCAACGATAGCGAGGTAAATTCACGAAGATGCATTTAATGGCATTATGATGGCGGCCGCTGCCTCGCGATGAAATTACCTTTGTAATTTATTACATTTTACTTTCACAGTGCGAGCCCGGTCTCGGCGCCTCCGTGATGTACAACTTGCTATATTTTCCACCTTATAAATTAATGCTGTTAGCCGGGTGTAGCACGGTCTGCACTACGGTTGCCGAAGCGGCAAAAATGTGGAATTTAGTGGTGGTGAGTACACCAAGCTGGAGTTATTTTTCTAAAAAGTGAAGAATTAAATTTCGATGTCTTACACTTCCAATTAATCGTATTGCTCTTTTCGAATGCATCGCGCATAACGCAAAAGTTGAAATCCAAGCAAAGATCCTAAGAAGAAGTGTAAGACATTATTGACATCTAGCATACAAATAGAGACAAACAAGTAACATTTTCCCAGCTTTGTTACGGTGCGTCATCGCCGGCATTGTCTGACCGAAATCGATTCCCGACTCTCTTCAGGACGCATCCATCTGCCACCGTGCACAATCCTACGAGAATTAAATTGTTGCAGAAATTTGGTTGGTCTCGGGTAGCGATATTACAGCAAGCCGAAGAAGTGTTTATATCGGTAGGAACATCACGCTACTGAATTTACTTGTTTATTTTTATATGACAACATTTTACAAAAGTATTATTACACTTTGTCCGCTTTTGTGTTGAAAACAATCCAGCAAACATAGAACATTGCAGTAACATTGCGACAATGTTGCTGCAATATTCTGTGTTTGCTAGGAAGTTAATTCGATAATAATTAATATTGAATGAGTGGAATCGCCGTATACATAGAGTGTAAAAACGGATATTTGTCAAATTGTCGCAGACCGTGGAAGATCTAGAAGCACGGTGTAAAGAAGCTGGGATAGAGATAGTTACTCGGCAGAGTTTCTTGTCGGATCCGACGGACGCGGTGAAAAATCTACGCCGTCAGGACGCGCGCATAATCGTTGGCCTTTTCTACGTGGTGGCTGCGAGGCGGGTGCTCTGCGAGCTCTATAACCAGAAGCTGTACGGCAAGACCTACGTGTGGTTCTTCATCGGTTGGTACGAAGACGACTGGTTCGAGATCAATCTGGAAAAGGAAGGCATCTCCTGTACGAAAGAGCAAATGCGAATGGCGGCAGAAGGTCACTTGACCACTGAGGCGCTTATGTGGAATCAAAATAATGACACGACAATCAGCGGCATGACTGCTGAGGACTTCCGAAAGAGATTGAACAAACTGCTGAAGGACGACGGCTTTGACACAGATAACAATCGATATCCGGAAGGATACCAAGAGGCACCTCTTGCCTACGACGCGGTCTGGTCCGTCGCATTGGGTAAGTTTTTCGAATAAGTATAACGAAGTCGATTGTATGCATTACTACACATTCAAGTACAGAAATTGGTGTGAAAACAGACGCATTATATATAAACGACTGAATATAATTTCCCAGCAATATTGCTGCAGCATTCTGTGTTTGCTGGGTTATCATTTTGCTAGAAAATATGTATTGGATGTTTCAAAGTATTTACGTTAAATAAAATTTTTGCAATTAGATAGATTAAAATATATAGCAGGTTTTAGCCAGCGCCACTAACAAATCTAGTCAAATTTGCTAACAATTTAGCAAATCGATAGACGGAATAATCGCCTTAATGCTATTTTTGTCTCTACCGTCAGCGTTTAACAGAACTATGGAGAGACTAAGCAAGATGGGGAAGAGTTTGAAGAACTTCACTTACGAAAACAAAGAAATTGCTGATGAGATATACGCTGCAGTAAACTCGACCCAGTTTCTCGGAGTTTCCGTATGTAGAACTATAGCTTATACATCGTTCCTTTGCCCGAGCAGCGCAGTTTCAAAAATTATGTTTTTACCGCAGGGATACGTCGCGTTCAGCTCGCAAGGCGACAGGATTGCTTTGACGCAGATCGAGCAGGTGATTGACGGAAAGTATGTTAAGTTGGGGTACTACGATACGCAAAGCGACAATCTAACGTGGCGGAACGTGGAACGGTGGATCGGCGGTAAGGTTCCGCAAGACAGAACGATAATAAGAACCGTTTTAAGAACGGTGTCACTGCCCTTATTTATAAGTATGGCGACCTTGTCGGCGCTCGGCATCCTGATAGCTGTTGGATTGATCATATTTAACATCTATAACAGGCATCGAAGGTATACCGCATTGTTGCGCTACATTTGTTAGCAGGCCGGAGTACAGCTCAAAATCGATAGCTATAACTGATGTCTACTTTTTAGAGTTATATACTCGTCTCATCCCACCGCCAACACGATAATGCTAGTGGGAATAATAGGGTGCTTCTTAGCCGTACTGTGCATAGGAATTGACGGTAGGTTTGTGACGCCGTGGCAGTTTTTGATAATCTGCCAAGCCAGAGCGTGGACTATGTCGATCGGCTTCACTCTTGCATTCGGCGCCATGTTCAGCAAAGTGTGGAGGGTCCATCGACTCTCGACAAAGGCGAAAGCTGATCAAGGGAAAGTAAGTCGCAAATTATTTACGGATAAACGAGTCTCCATTGGCAAAGTGGTACGAGGGATCTTTACGGGTGTGATATTTGCGACGAGTGTTGCGATATCTAGAATGTAAGAAATAGTTTAGCATGCTTGTCAGTATCTTTTTTTTCAAATTTTTTTGTAAGGACAATCGTACTGCTTTTCCCTTTGAGTTCTTTATTAGTAACGAGGCTGATTTTTAGTTTTTCATGAAGACGGAACCATCCTGCATGGTTTGCTGTTCCCGCTCGTATGTCCCGCATCTTTAACTTATTCTCGATTCCTTTTAGTCATTGACGGCTAAACAAAAAGTTTCGTCTATACAGAAGAAGATTGAGCCGTGGAAGCTGTACGTTATGTTGAGCGGATTGCTGTCGGTGGATATCATCCTACTCGTCACCTGGCAGGTGGTCGATCCGTTGCATAGAAGAATCGAGACCTTCGCGTTGGAACTGCCTCCTTACGGAGACGAGGATGCAATGATCAAGCCCGAATTGGAACATTGCGAGAGCGAGCACAACAGTTTATGGCTCGGTGAGTATGTCGCAAGTTCAAGAAGGAATTCACATGTCAAATCAATTCTGCGTGTGTGCCAACTTACAATTTCCTTTTAATATAAAGATCGTGTACAAAATTGAGGATATTTTTCCAGGTTTGATCTATGGCTATAAAGGCATTGTCCTGGCTTTCGGACTCTTTCTGTCTTATGAAACGAGAAGCCTCAAAATCAAACTGATCAATGACTCCAGATACGTGGGAATGTCAATATATAACATCGTAGTTCTGTGTCTCATAACGGTACCCGTGGTAATGGTTATCTCTAGCCAACAGGACGCCAGTTATGCCTTTTCCGCGCTGGCCACTATCTTTTGTTGCTTCCTCAGTATGGCGCTTATCTTCGTGCCGAAAGTGATCGAAGTGTTTAGGCATCCCAGAGACAAGTCCGAGTCGAGATACAACCCAGACGGAGCGGTGTCCAAGGAAGAGGAGGAGAAATATCAGAAGCTACTCAACGAGAATGATGACCTTCAAAAGCTTATTGCCACGGTGAGAATATGATGACGATATCTTATCGATTAATTATCATCTGCAATATTACTGATGTATTTTATATTGTTTTGTTATTTTTTTCATTACGTATTTTATTTTGTGTTTCAGAAAGAAGAAAAGATTCAAGCCATCAAGCAGAAACTAGCTGAACGCGACGCCCTGAGGGGAACCACCACGATAAGTCGTTGTAGGCAGAGTCAACCCAAGCAGTTCATCGTTGCCGACTATCCGACCGGCGAGGGGACATCAGACAGTGCTATCGGTGGGGGTATTTCTATTTGTACAAAATCCTCCCGCGCTTCCGCTTCTGATGTTGAGTTTTCAGAGACGTATTTATAATCCTCTCGACACACGAGTTAAAAAAATCGCATCGCCACGAGCATCTTTACGCATCGCGTGATACGTTTGGGACATAAAGTTGTTTTCAATCGATTTCGCTGATTATCGTTATATACATACGCTTCGCTTTTGAATCTTTGATCGAACGTATTTCCAATACGTTTGTTGTAAGTATCGATGGGTATGTACTTGTGTTTTTTTTCACGATGCACTTTCGAACAATGTTTCGTTCGAGTAACCGGAGTACACGATAATTGACGATGATTACACTGCAACATGTCCAGCATGGTGTGACATCCGGTCAAGAAAAGTTGAGTTACAATTGCATCTGCACAATTTCGAAAAACAATGAAACGGCAGGAATAAATTGCGATTGTGAGTTAGATTGTGAGTTATTAGAATAGCGCATATTTTCTTCACGCAATTTGCACGAAGTAAATCATATTGTTATGTTATTCTTATTAATACGGTTACGCGGTGGAGAGAAAATTAATCTATTAATCCAATAACGAAATTAATGAGTGAAACGTTAATGTCATAAATGTTAACTCTTCAGCTAATTGTTTAGAGTAATTTTTTAATAGATAATGTGATTCATATAATACATTGTTTTTGTATCAGCATACATTAATCTCATAGGTTTCGTGTATACGCATTTCTAACTGTTAAATACACAAACAGTTAAATACACATCAATTAATATATGAATTAGCAATTAAACTTTTTAGTAATTTTGTGCGAATTTAGATAAACACGAGATATGAAATGAATGAATTCTGATCAAATCTGGCCTACGTTTTATGAAAATTGGCTCTATCTTTTCGACGGCAATGAATGTATTCTTTTTTTCTACAATCATTCACTATGATAAATTAATTATCTAAAGTGTCATTATATATTTGTACGTAGTTTGTTTTCTATTAATTATTGTGTAGATATCTGAGATTAGAATGTTTGTCAAATATCATCGGGTGCAACTTTCAGCACTATGAGAAAGTACTTAACCAGATTCTTAGCGTAAAACAATCTTACCCTATGGACCAAGTATCACACGGAATAACATTTTCAGGGACAGAGCGTTTAAGTATTTTATACCTTAACTTTTAACTTTTATCGAGCAAGTATACTCGATAAAAATAACGAAGTTTTTTAAGTCTTTATCATTTTCAATCAGAAATATATCTTAATATTTTTCAAAGATAATATAATGGATTTTAACAGAGTTACACGAATGATAAGAATAAAATACGTTTATTAAACAATGAATTCTTTATACTGGAATAGCGAAATATATTTATGTTCCTAATAAAAAAATGAAGGAACAAAAACTACATTTTTTCTGTACCGGGTCGCATAACTGTTTATCTAAAAAAATTGATCTTTTTAATTTTAAATAAGGTAATAAGAAAAAATGCAAACATATTTTTAAATGAACAATGTATGAATATGGTAGACATATGGATGGCAGTAAACATTAATTATTCACCCGGTATATATACTGCGGCTATAATTACAAATTGTACTTTACTGGCTTAGCATGTTTGCTTATAAAATATTTATCGTTTATTACGTAGCACATATACACAAAACAATTTAATGTTTATGTTAGGCCTAAAATAATGTTCATAATCATATATTTCAGTTATCGCAGTTAAATCTCGTTAGAAAACTGTCGTGTTAATTGTATAGTGTCAAATGTTGCTGTAAACCTCATGAAGCATACTCCCAAATTTGAAAAAATAAAAAAATTGTAATTTGGTTTAATCGGATTATTACATCTGTCATAGATGCAAAATATACTAACGAGATTTAAGCCTGCCTACGAATTTTATGCCGTTCGTTTATAATTTGGGAGTCTTGATGAGGTGTGAAGTGTTGCATTATTGTTGAAATTTGTATTTATTAATTTTTGAATATTTTTAACAGAGCACCAGGTTTGCGTGTGACATTATTTCCAATACTTGTAGCTAACAGAGCATACACTTTCGACTTCCAAATCACTTACGGATGGAGTATCAGTATTAACGATCGTTTATAGAAATTTATGAAATTTATGGTGTTTGACTTTCTGTTTTTAGGCACGCAGCACGTCGGCGAAATGTACGAACTGCACCGACTATGATGCCAAAGCAATATATACACAAACGAGCGCTATGCTTGCGACAAAACTCTCTTCTAAAACTAGTATTAAATCTACATGCACGGTCAATATGCGAATTATAATACGAATCTTGGGACACGCCAAAAAAGTGAGAATGACTTTCTTATAATGTCCGAAATATGATTTCGCGGCGATGAGATATGTCATTGTCACATATTTAAAATGTAAGTTAGTTTATAGCATGGAATTGTTTTATATGTTTCGATACGGTAAATACAATTCGACTGCGCCTTAAAAAAAAGACAAAAAAGAAAAAGATAGTACTGCGATGATGCGTCACGCAGATATTACGGCTTACAAACTAAAAATGTGCGTGAAATATGCCATCGTATGCTCTAAATCCTGTGTATAGACACTTTTGAATCGAATGTAATCTCTTGTTTATTGTATCTATCACGTGCGCCCACCCACGCAGTATTTTTTACTGTACTCATTTGATCAACTGCCGCGCAAACGGCGCTTAAGTCTAGAATTATACATATACGATAGTATTATCGAACTGTTGACGAAAGTATCACATATATGTACGTTAGATTATGGAAATATTTATTTTTAAGTTTTTGAATTATAAAATCCGTTATAAAACTTGAAGGCTCTATCTATTATTGAACCCTGAATATATTGTTTACGATCAAAAACTCGCATAACTCGCACAAGAATTGTATACGATCGACGATCGTGTAACGTTCATATCTCTATGTTGTTTTTAGAATTGAGATTTTAATAAAGGATTTAAATGCAATGATTGAAGTTTGCGTTAATATACTCTTTATGAAATATATATCCAGTAAGCAAAATGTTAGGGCATTTGCTTGACCAAACAATTAGCTTCCCAGATAGCACAACTGATCCTTTTGATTTTAAAAAGAATTCACTTTTTTGAGTTCTTTTCGAATTCGCGTAATCTGTTCGAAATGAACTAAAAAAGAATTCCTTTTTGATAGTTAGAAAAGGATTCCATAAAAGTATATCTTTTGATTTCTTTTGAAATTAAATTAAAGTAGACTTAAAGAAGTCTTCTTTCTGTTTTGTAATGAATTCAAAAAAAATTCACTTTTAGCTTGATTCTAGTATAATTACTGTATTATTATTACAGTATTATTACACTATAATATTTCCCATACAGCACACAAAGATTGCATACACATTGCATCAATCTTTCATCACAATGTTGCAATATTGCAAATTCACTGCAAAATGTTGTTGCATCATTGCTGTGGGATTGCAGAAATGTTAAAATGTCCGCTTTTAGGAAGATTGTAACGAAATATTACAGTAATATTGCAATGTAATGAATTTACAATAATGCATTGTTATTGCAATCTTAGAATAATGTTGCATATATTTTTATTTATTCGGACATTTATCTGTCCGATTTTTGAACAATCAGTTCAATATCTGAATTCCCTGTGTTGAGGTCGTATCAGAAAAATTAAACTGATAAAAATAATTACTATGTCTTTAATCTTACTAGTCACTCTTTGCAAGTTTCATACCCATACAGCACAAAAAGTTGAAATAACGTTGCTGAGACGTTGCAATGTTGAATGTTGAAGTGTAAAGGTTTTTTCAACATTGAATCTATGTTGAGTTTTCTATATTGATTGTTAAATGTTGCTATAACGTAGAAACAACATTAAACAATTATTATCTTTTGAAATAATATAATAATTATTACAATAATTATTAATAAGAAATAATAATATAATTATATATATATATATATTTAAATAAAAATTAATTTTAAACATTTATTTCGTTGAATTTTTCAAAACATTATTATAATATATATAAATTCTGCATTGAATAAATGTTGAATCAATATTGAATTAATGTTTCTTGTCTTGCAGACATTGCAATTCAGCGGACATTAGATATTTCTTCAATATTTTTTCAACATTGAATCTATATTTCGCAACGTTGCTGAAACATTCATAATGTTGCAATTCTACGTTTTTTAGATATTGATTCAGGGTGTTTACGATAATTCAAGTTCGAGTTAGTTTTACTAGGGCCGAAAAATGAGATAGACATAACCATCTAGAACCTTTATGATTCATGACAACTCAACGCTGTCTTGTATTGCTTGAGTTAATTCATTGAATTTTATTG